ACTGTTTCTGTTTAGGACACTGACAGCTGACATTTAGTACTTCTGACACAATTTCCCACCTCTTCCCAAATGAGAATCACTTAAACACTGAGGCCTTGGAGACTCCCTTCGAAGGATTTCCAAACTGCTGCAACAAACGCAACAGCACCATCCCACAACAAAACCAAATCAAGCAACACTCACAGAGCTCCAGCACCACTGCCAGTGCTCAAAGCAGCCACCCCCCCTGCCCCTCTGCTGCCCTGTAATGCGGAGACCTGGGGGCTTAACCCCCAAACCTGAGACAACTCTTGCACAAGAGGTCACATCACAAAGCAAGGCAGAACCTGAACCGAGGTTTCCACACCACAGTTTTCCACATCAGAACAACATTAGATCCCTTCTCCTGACCTTGGCGTTACAGCATCCACTTCCCCAGACTGCATTTGGCTCTGATTAAACAGCAAATTAGAGCAACACTTGTATGAATTACTTCTCACTTGTACAAGTAATTCTCTCATGCAACGAAGGAATTATCCAGCAGACAGTATAAACATCCTCCCCGAGATAAATGTAAAGCAAGAATGTAAAGTCTAGACAAAGACTTTGTATTTCTTCTCTTTGCTCAGCTGATAACAAATCAACAAGAATATAAAAGAAAAAGAAGAGAAAAGTGAGAGGGAAATAGTTTTCAATCAGCCACCACAGAAAGCAAGAAACATCTCACCAAAGATCCTGACCATCGACCACCCTCTTCAGACGCACTGCATCACTCGGCCACTCAACATGCACAGTCAAGTGCTTCCAAAATCTCAAATTCTGACAACTCCTAAGATTACACTTCCTTATGCCCCTGCCAAAAGGCTGCAGAAACACCAATGCAGTTTGGATACATTCCCAGAAGTCTCCTCCAGCAACTCAAAAATACATATCACTACCAGCAGTCATAATGGTTTTTCTGACCCCTACTAGAGATTGAGAGTTGAATAGTGTCTGGCAAGCCGGTCCTCTGCACACATCCTCCCCCTTGGGCAGCAGAGTGGACACATTCCCTGTGGTCTCAGCGTTTAAATCCTGCACCCTCCACACCAACAGAAGACAGGAGAAGAGACTCAGCTTGGTGGTGACAGGGCCCCACTGCCTGCCTGGGGAGGAGGGGGTTTCACTGACCATCTCCACAATAAACACGGGTTTGATGAACAGTTTGCTGGCGCAGAGGCTGGGTGGTGATCCCAAATGCCCCACAAACCCAGGCCTCACACGTTTAACCCTGTTGGCACACTCAGAGCCCTCTGCATTACCTGGACAGTACAGCTGACTGCTCCACAAACCATGGCCATGACCGGATGCCCAAGACCTTGGCTGACAAATCATCTGTCTGAACAAAGACATGTGCAATTTGCAGCGCATTAATTTCAAGCCTGTCTCACAGCCAGCTTTCCCTTTTGCCTCCAAAGAGAGGCTGTGCCATATCATAATTCACGCCAGGCCACAAGCAGATGTCTGAAACTCCTGTACATTATCATAGGAAAGTCTAACACTCAATTGCTTTTAAAAGACAGGGGAGCAAGTGAGTCACTTTACATACCTTGGCAGTCACATACAAGGCAATGGGTATGTCCAGGAAGAAATAACATCACAAACTGGCAAGGAATGGCACATTTACCCGTTCAACAAGACTGGGTCCATGCTAAAACCTACTGCTTTGAAGACGAAATGGCAAGCATTCATCTCAAGTATTATTTCTGTACTAACGCACGGACATCAAAGTTGGAAGCCCATCAAATCACAGACAAAACGCTTCCGCATGCAAACGCGTTACAGATGCCTTCTTACCATTTCTCTAACATACGCAAAGGTGGCTCGGCTCCCTCTCTTCCTCGTATTTCCTGCGGAGATAATTCTCCGCAGGCACACAGAGACCTTGTGTCGAGCACGGCGGCGGCCCGGGGGGACATCTCGGGGAGTCCCTCCGGGTCAGCGCAGCGGGGACACGGCGCTGCTGCCGCTCGCCTCCCGCAGCTCCTCCGGCACACGGTGCCGGCCCGGCCGCCTCCCCGCACCACGCACTGCCGAGCACGGGGCGATGTTCCTTTGGGAGAGCAGCATCCCTGGAGAGACCGGGACGACACCGCCGCGCCCCGGCCAACGAGGGGCCCCCACCCCGGGCGGGGGAGCGGGGCGAGGCTTCCCCAGCGCTGCAGCCCGACCAGCACCGGGTCCGGGGACACCGGCCGGGCAGGACCCCCCGCCCATCCCGGTGCGGGAGGACAAGGCGCCGGGCCGGGCTGCAGCGGGAGACCCCAACACCCCCTACCCCGGGCAACCCCGACAGCCCTGGGGATGGACCCCAAACCCCGACCCTCCGGGAGCCGCCGCCCCGGGCCGAGCCCCGCAGCCCGCAGATGGCCCCAGGCCGGGGTCCCCGCAGCCCGCGCCCCCCTCCGCCCCGGCCCGCCGCCCCGGCCGTGCCCGACTGTCCCGCCCGCCGCCCCGGCGCTGCCCGGCCCCGGTTCCCCCGCCCCGGCGCTGCCCGGGCCCCGCGATGCGGCGGCCCCGCGCCCGCCCGCACCTGCCGCGCCACCTCGGCCGCCGCCATCGCTGCGCGCTCGCCGCACGTCCCGCCCCGGCCTGCGGGCGACTCCGGGCGCGCCCACCGCGGCACCGCGCGGGGGGACCCCGCCACGGCACCGCGCCCGCCCCGCACCGCGCTCCGCGCCCCGCCCGGCCCGGCCCCGCCTCCCCCGCCCTGCTCGGGCCAGGCGGGCCCGCCGGTGCCGCCGCCGCCGCCCTCCGGGGGGCGCGGGGCCGCCGGTCCCCCCCCTCGACCGCTCGCGATGGTGCAGCCCGGGCTGCGGGCGGGGCGGGCGGAGGGGCCGGGGCGGTGGCTCCGAGCGGGGCCGGGCGGGCGCGGAGCTCCGGACAGCGGGCGTCGGGCCCCGGACGGCGGCTCCTCGGCCCCTGCCAGTCCCGGTGTCCGGTTGCCCCTTCCCCCCCTCCGGTAGCGCGGGCCGTGCAGCCCCGAGGCTGAGCCGGGGTTCGCGGTTTGGGTCTGTTCGGGTCCTCTGTCCGAGCACGTGGCGCACTTGCCGAGAGCTGCTGGACGGTTCAGGCCCGCCGGGCACCCACTGACCGCGGCGGTGCCGAATCCCCTCCCGGTGGCACCACAGCCCTTCCCGGCCTCTCTCGGCCCGAAGGTGCAGCCTCTGCTCCCTCAGCTGCTTGAGCACATCTGCTGCTTCCGGGGGGTGTCGCTGCTGCCGCTTGGGTTTTCCTTCGTTTCGTGCCAGCACAAGCATCAAACAAGGCTGAGAGGAAACTCAGTCCCCACCCAAAGCAAGTCACTTCCCCAGCCCCTGGGACCCCCGAGTAAAGTCCCCAGGCTTGGCAACCTGGTTTTTATCCTGGTCAGAGTGCCTCCAGTCCCTAATGCAGTTATGGCCAGGGTAGCCCTAAATGGAAGCTTTGCTGTGCACCTCATTCCCCAGGAGCAGCACCTTGTTTCCCTCCTTGTTTTCCCCAGCTGCCACCCAAGTGTTTTCAACTCTTCCCTAGGATCCCACGGCTGTGTGGCTCAAGCTCTCTGAGCCCACAGAAGCCACCAACAGCCAATGATAAATCCAGGCAGCACCAGAAAGGGAGCAAGGGGACAATTACATTTTCACCACCGGTCATTTGGGCTTTGACATTATGCCAGCTCCCCACACATCCCAGAAAAACTGGTTAAAGTGGTTGGAGAAAGGCAAAGGTCCTTGAGGGTGGACAACCAGCCCAGGGCAAGTCAGAGCAGGGCTAAAGCTTAGGGAAGGGATATTAAAAAGGTTCAAGGGGCTGTTGTGGCTCTTCACTGCCTGACCAGCCACAAAACCCAATGACAGTTCAGCCATGGGTGTCAGAGGAGTCATGGGTTAGAGAAAGGTCTTGAGAGAAACAGGACTAGGAACTTTTGAGGCAGAGGAATTTGTCCTGATTTCTGAAAAAATTAGGGTACAGACTACTGGTGGCTGCAGCTGCCAACACCACCAGCCACGGCTGTGCTGGAAAGTGAAACAGAGCAAGAGAGAAAGGCCAAAATGCCTCTGGGACGAAACATCATGTGGCAAGGGACCCAAAACACTGTCCCAGGCTGGGTGTCCCTTACAGCAAGGAGACCCACCAGCTACTGGGAACACGGCTCCTCGGGGCAGTAACCTGGGTCTGCCTGAGCACAGCATCAAGGAGAAGCATTGCAATCGTGGGGGACAATTTTGGGGGGGGCTGTAAGACAGGTGCCTCAGCAAGGCAACCCTGGGGCACCACTGGGGCCAGAGGAAGCATTCCTGGGATCAGTGTCACGGATTTACACAGGCCAGATGTTGTAACAGGATCTGACCTGGAACCCCCCTGGGAATGCCAAGTCCAAGTGAATGTTCCCAATTAGTCTTTTGTTAGTTCTTTGGTTACAGCTCAAGCTGGTGCCTCCTACCCCAGTTCACACCTCTCAGTTACACCCATGCCACCCATCACCTGATTCCCAAGTCAATCACTAAATTCTGGTCAGTGGTCTATTGATTTCTTACTGGACTACACTGTCACTGGGCTGGCCACCTTCTGACATTACTTTTTCCCTTGGAATTGTCTCCTGGGTCCTTATCATCTCCATTCTGCTCCTATCTGCTGAATTCAGGGAGTTCTTTGTTAGCAGCATTGTTTTATCAGAAGTTTACATTTTGTCGGGTGTTGCTGGCTAAGGCTGAGGCTACTTCAGCTGCTGATGGTGAGACACCGGTGCTAAACGAGACTGTTCAGAGAGGAGAAGACAGTTCAACAAATTTTTTCCATAACACCAGCACCAGACTGCCCAGGACCCACCTGCCTCTGCCCGCCCCCGTGGTCCCACACACTCCCCACATCCCCACACAACCACCTGCTCTCCCTCTGTGACACCGCAGCCGAGTGGGGCCAGGGGGGCAGACAGTCTGTGGTTGAGGCCGTGCACGGCGCCTGCGGCAGCCACGGACACAGCGTGGCCAAAGGTCACCTGCACCGCCCGGCAGTGCCGGGATCTGCCGCCATGCCCTCCCGCCACGCAGAATCGGTTCCTCCTCCGCCTAATGCTGGGGAGGAAGCGTGGGGTGAGAGCTGGGGAGCGTGAGCTGTGCCCTGCTGGGGATCAGGCTGCTGGCCAGCCCGGGGAGGCACCGCCATGGCCCGGCAGGAGCAGAGCTTGGCAGAGCAGAAGGTAGCTGGCACCGGCCAGAAGTTCTCCTTCCTGGAAGCTGCCCAGCCCCAAGCAGGGAGCCGAGCCCGCAGCTCCCAGCTCCGGTCAGCCACCCTGGGGAGCAGGGACAGTTTCTATACGCTGCAGAAGATGGACACCAACAAAAGCGTCAGCTGGGGCAGGCACAGCCTGGGGAGCTGGGGTAGGACTGCAGGCAGGTTCTCCATCGGCCATGGCAGTACCCGGAGGAAGGAGCTGAAAGAAATCCTCCTACAGACCAACAGCCCTGGCAGCACCTTGCGGTTTGCCACCACTCAGAAGACATCCAACAGCAGCAATCTCCTTGCAGGGCCACACCAAGAGCAGAAGTCCGAGCAGAGTCCTGACCTGCTGCCCCTTGTCCTTGATCCCCTGGAGCACGCGTGGCTGCTGACGGTGGCTGAGGGCGATGCCGAAAGCATCATCAAGCTGCTGGACTTGGATCCCAGCCTGCTGACCAGGAGAGACTTTGTGACGGGCTTCACCGCTCTCCACTGGCTTGCAAAGCATGGCCACCATGAGAGCCTCATCCAGGTCATCTCCCATGCCCAGAAGAAAGGCTATCCCGTCAACGTGAACATTCCCACAGCCAGCGGCGGGCTCACCCCCTTGCACCTGGCTGCCTTGCAGGGACACGAGGTGCTCATCAAAGTGCTGGTGGGAGCTTACGGGGCAGACACCAGCTGCAGGGACCACAATGGGCGCAAGGCTTGGCAGTACCTGAGGGCAGACACCTCCAGGGACCTGAAGGAGCTGGCGGGGGCCTTGGAGGAGGACTTGGTCCAGCTGCGCTCTCACAACACCAACAACAACTGTAAGTCATCTAAAGAGGCCAGGGCAGGGCAGGACTCTGTGGACTCTGGGGCCGAGGGGAAAGCCCAGCAACCCTGGAGCCTGTCGGCTCTCCGAGGCATTGTTAGACAGGCATTTGCTTTCTTCCAAGAGCACTGAAGATCCTCTGTCCCCATTCACCTGTAAATCCATGCTGGATAGCAGCCAGAAGAGCCTGAAGAGAGCTGGGAACTTGGGTGCTTGAAACCCTGGCCAAGTGACGATTAAACCACGGCACCTCAGCCACCCTGGGTCTCGTGTGGTCTTTGGGGCTGTGCTGGTGTGTGTGGGGAGCACCACGGCCATCGGAACACAGACTAGGGACAGCCCTTCCAAAAAACTGCCTGTCGGCAGAGGGGCTTTTACCCCATGCCCAAGCCGATGGGAACTCCTTGCTGCAGCCCCTCGGTAGGGACTCACAAGTCAGCTCTGCTCTGGGGAGCTACTTCTCCGACACCCCGTGTGCCCATGAGAGGATGCTGACCCACCACGTGTGGATCCCATGCTGGGGCTGTGGGTGGATGTTTGAGCTGCCTGTCCCAGGCTGCTGGCAGACTTTATGTGTGCCTGTAGGTGGGTCACACAGAAATTCGGTGACTTGGTTCTCCTACCTGTAAAATGAGATGCCTGAGATGCTCAACCCCATTGGGGATGGGGGCCAGAGCACAGGAGGCAGCAAGGACACCAGCGGGGTGGCATGGGTTGGCTTCTGTGGCGACTGGAGTTCAGGAGCAACTCTGGAAAGATGATTCATTGCTCAATACCACGGAAAAGGTATGTGAAGGCTGTGAGATCATCTTTATTGCTACTGAGGTCATGCTCAAAAATGAAACTGATAAATATCCCTGCAGCAGCAAAATGCCATGTGTATGTACTGGTCACTGCATTAAAAGGGCAAAGCCTCTGCTTGCTTGTTTGTGTTTTGTTCACCAAATGGAGCTCTGCCCATGATTTCAACTTGCTTTTTACATTCTTGAAGGCCAGGGCTGCTTAAAAATACCTTCAGAAAAACAATGTCCCCTTCCTCTTTTTCATCAGCACGAGACCATTCCTGCCTCCTTAAATAGCAGTCCCATTTGAGCAAGTGTCTCTCAGACAGGAACCGGGGAGTTTCTGTTCCCCTCACAGAGCAACAGCCCTTGCAGACACACCTCGTTTGGGAAGGGAGTTGTGGTTTCTTTCCAGCTGCCTTTCTGGGGGTCTGCAGAGGTGGCCAAAGGACTTGAGATGATCTGGCCTGGCTGCACAGATGAATTTGCATCTTGATGCAGAAAGATACACACATAAGTTCCTCTGGGGAACCTGAGCCTGTGGGTTTCACAGACCCTGAGCCAACCCCAATTACATACAGATTGTGCTCTGAAATGCTACTTGGACACCCAGTCTGCAGTAGGTGACAAAGGGAAGAGCAGCCTGCACATGGGTGGACAGTGATCCAGGTGACTAGGTGAACATATAGATGTGTCTTTTTAATCTCTGAGGTCAGCAGTAGATACATACAAAACATGCTGGGAATGAATTCAATGCCTGATCTACAGCAGTTTTGCAATGCTTTAGCTCTAATGGATTGAAGAGTATGGCAACATAGCTCCTCCTGGAACTGCTCTGGCCACATCCATGCCATGGGACAGCAGGGCTGGTCACAGCAGCACAAACTCCATGAACAGTACTGGTGTCAAGTTCTGGTAACCAAAGTGCTGTTGATGAGACAGGTGGGACTGACAAAATATTTTTTGTCCTGTTAGTCCTCTGTCACCCTTTCACACCTGTCAGGGAAGGGACACAGGACCGCTCATACATCCGCCTCTGAGTAAGGCACAGAGTAAACAGTGGAATTAATGAGAATTGCCTTGAAGGAACCATTTCCTTGGCACTCATACTTGCAGCTTAGTCACACCCCACCAGGAAACCTGGACTTCAATGTTCCATTCAAAGGTAAAATTTAGCTGGTAAATGCTGCACTTAAATAACACAAAATGATTTTTAGTACTTGATTTCCCTTGACAGGTAATGAAAATCCCTTAAAGGCAGCTTTTCCCCCATCTTTCGGTTGTGGGTTTAAACCTGTATTCTGTGCTGAGATGAATTAGGCAGGGACTTCAGAAAGAGCAGAACCAGAGCTCAGCTTCTCTGGGTGGTGGTACAACACGCTCACTGATGACACCCCCCTGCCCTGCCCGGGTTCTTTTCCACTGAGCAAAAAAAGGATCTTCTCCTGCTGCTGCACGTTGTTTGCCCCAAACCCCACGCCACTTCCAGTGACCCACCCCTCTGTCTTGCACGGTTTATTTTCATACCTGCAGAAGGGCAGTTGGTTTGGATATACAGACACATTTAAAAAAATATTTCTCAAGTACACAATTGGCTCTAACTTTGCTTCTCACTCAAAAGCAACAGCGTATCCACCAAAACTAATGTAGTAAAACATCCAAATTATTTAGATTTTTTCTTTAAAGCTTCTGTTGGTGTCTTAATTATCTCATTAGCCCAGTTCTGCAGAGATCCCTGATCCCCCCTGCAAATCTCACAGAGAGGAGAAGGCAAACAGAGCTGCCACGGGAACAACAGAAACCATTCATAACCAGGGTTTAAGATTCTGCAGAAGGCTGAGTTTATCCCAAGTTTAATTTGTACTAAATTTACTATGTGCTGTCCTTTAATGTCCAATTTGAAAAACAGATTGTCAAATGAGGAAAATAATACAAGGGGTTATTTTCCAAAGCAGCTCCTTAGTAGAAACTGCTTCCATCTGATAAAAATATCACAGTAAGGACAGTAATAGGGAGACTTTCTAATAAATAGTAATAAATTTTTCAATCTATTACTCAGGAAAGCTTTCCCACAAATGCCATGGAGAAAACTGTCTCTTTCCATTCTCAAGTCCATAAAATTACTCTTTTCCTCCTCAGCCAGATCCCCATAGACACAATTAAAGAGAAACTCTAGAGTAGCTTTGCCTGCCAACAGTGGTGCTGTGGGGAGGCTGCGGGAGGTTCACGGGGCTCCAAGGCAGATCTCCAGTCCTCAGCAGCGCTGTTATTTCCCAACATTTGCCTCAAGAGCAAAGAGACTTCAAAATCATTGGGGTCAAAGTGTCTGCAGCATGTGAGCCTCTCTGGCAATGCTGTTTGCTGCTTTCCTGTTGCAGTGACTTACTGCTTCCCTCTGATAACAAAGGAGTCTAGACTCTGACCAGACAGGAGGAGAACCTAGATGATATTTCTGCAGCGTCCTGAAGTTGGGAAAAATCCCAGCCTTGCTCGCCCCAGCTCACAGAACCCTCCAGCACAGCTTAGGAGGGACAGATTGCCATGAGTGAGATGTCTATTTGTTGGCATTTGCACGTGTGAACATGTGATGTGCCCAGCGTTATTTGCTACCAATCGCTATGCGAAGGAGGTAAATCTATTTACCTTCAATGTGAAGAGCAGCAACACAGGTGTGGCACCCTGAGGCTTCCTCAGGAAGCTGCCTCTCAGGAACGGAACCACCACAGCAGCTGAACCCAGGAACCTTGGCAGCCCTCAGTGTCAGGATGGGCTTTGCACCGTCAGGGATTTCCTGCTGACCGGAGCACCTACCCCGGGTCAGCTCTGCAGAAAGGGAAGGAGCAGCCACGCCGGGCTGGGAGCAGAGCACAGCCGCCTCCTCCACTTCCCTGAGGCAAATAAATGGTTCCACAGGCCCCAGCAGAAAATACCAGCATCAGGGAGCTGGAGCGACAACTACTCTGAGCCATTTTATCTGTTTTTTCCTCTCCCCCTTTTTTAAATAGCTGACTTGTCTTGAGCTACTGCTGTCTGCAGAAAATGTTTTATATTAAGCTGCACCCGTGGTTGACATGAACTGACTTATCAAACCAATACAGAGCTCCAAAGCAAGCTCAGGTTACCTCATATTCTAGGGAGCATGCAGAGATGATGTGCTACAGTTTACAGTACTGCATTTTGTAGGAGATAGATCTACTCACCCTTAGCAAAATTTTCTTTCATCCAGTTATTCCACCGCACCTACTCCCCAGCCAGCATTTTAATCGCAGGCTCCAAGGGCTGCCCAGCCCCACATCCTACCTGGGAGTAGCTTCTCTAATAATTTTTTTTTCATTTTAACTCCTCTAAAATCAGTTCTGATTTTTACATCTTTTTTTTTTTCTTTTAAAACGGGTACATTTTGCTCTCAAAGGTTTACAGCCAATGAGTGACAAGGAAGACACAGCCTACTCTACCTGAAAAGAGCTGCCAGGGTTCCTCATACTAAGTGAGAACATACTCACAGGAATGTTATTTTTCATTCTGTTATGATCCCACCATATATACATACGAAATTATTTCAACCAAGCAATTCAGGTCCATATTTATTAGTAAGCCTGTGCACTGTCAATGCTCATGGTGATGCCTGAAAGAAAGAACACTAATAGAACACAGTCTCCATGTTTCAGATGCAAGAAGAGATTTTCCCAGTTAACATCAACATCCCAGACCAGCTTATAAAAACCCCACACTGGGGAGTGCAGTCCAGCACCACAGAAGGAATGACTTGAGGGTGTATCAATCTGATGCAGAAAGACCAGTGTTCATTAGAGCTCCCAGGACAGTCTCCCTTACAAGCCCAGCTTGGTCCTCCTCCAGTGTCTCCTTTTGGAGTTGTACCTAAGACAAGAGCAGGGTAAATTAGCAAAGTGCATACACACATTTGTTCAAAACATGAAAGAAGAGCAGCACATGGAAAAGGTCTATCCCAAGAAATATCCGTTTGTGAGCATGTACTTGTCCATGTTAAGAACAAACGTTTTCACCACGATGCAGGTGAAACCGAAGACAGTGTTTGTAACAGAGTTGCTCTCAGCAGGAAAATGGCAGTGCTCCCACTGCAGGAAGCTCTGCAATTGCAGCCTGCTTTGGCACACAGCTCAGACACAGCTGATCACCAAGGTGTTCAAGTGCCACACGTCAAAAATCCATCATTTTGCCCCACGGTACAGTACTCCAAAGTACTGCAATTTAGCTAAAACAGAACCTCGTTGTACGTACACGCCACCAATCCTGCCTAGAAAGAAACAAGTTGGGAGGAGTTACAGGAACAGAACCTGGCAATCCTGCCCAGTTTCACTACCTGAGCCAGCCACTGCTGCTGTGGCTCTCCTCACTGCTTAGGACAAAGAGAGAGAAAGAGGAGGAAAAATTCTGTTGTCTTGAAAAAATCCAGACAAAGAAGTGGATGAGATAACAAGCTCTCTGACCAAAGTATACAACAGCTTTTAACCAGAGGGCTCAGACAGGCACCACCCTCTGCACGCCCCACGTGGACCAAGACCGTCAGAAACAAACACGCTACCAGGGTACAAAATCTGGAATAAATTACCCACAAGTGCAGCTCAGGCTTTCGCTTTACATGTGCCATCACTGAACACCCGTGGACCCTTGCAGAGCACTGGACAGAACGGCTACAGAAAGAAATGGCATGGAAACCCCACGAAAACACACGTGCACTGCCACCCCTGCCTGGCCCTCACGGCCACGAAACCGCACGTCTGGAGGCATAAATGCCATCAGCTCCTCCTTCGGCCCGCACCGCCCGGGCCGCCTGAGCGCGCCCGTGCGGCCGCAGCCCCTCAAGACGCGGCAGCCGCGCTCGATACCTGATCTTATTGCCGGTTTTCATCCGGATCCACTGAGGGATGGGCCGGTTCTGCTTCTGCTTCTTGGCGAGGAAGCGCTTGATCTTAAACGTCTTGTGGGACGACTGCAAGAGAGCGCAGCGGTCAGTCCCTCACGGAGCCCCGGCACCGCCCCGCCAAGCCCGGGCGAGTCGCACCCGGGTCCCTCCCGCTCCCTCGCGGCCGCCTCGCCCCGCCACCCCCGCGGCCGGCCCGCCGGGCCCCCCGAACGCTGCGGCGGCGGTGCGCGATGCCGAGGCGCGGCGGATGGCGGCGGATTGCTCGGAGGGTCTCACCATGGCGCGGAGCGGAGCGGCCTCCCGGCGATGGCGGCGGCAGAGGAGGCGGAAGGGGCGGGGCGGAGCGGCGCCGGCAGCGCTGGCACGGCGCCCCCTTGCGGCCAGGAGGACCCGCACGCAGTGAGGGAACGGCGGCTGCGGAGGAGCGAGTTTGTGCAGTTTTATTTGGGTTTAGTACAAAAAAAACAGCTATGGCTAAAATTCGCTAGCTTGGGAGGAGCTGCTACTGGCGAAGTCTCGTTCTGGGCTGTAAAACAATACTTCAAGTTATGAGGGAAGAGGAAGCAGTTCCGAGAGGGCAGGAGTTGGGAAACGTTTCAGACTCTACAGAAGGGAGGATGCTGGAAAAGAACAGGATGCCCAAACCAGCTACATTTGATTAAAAAGAAGCATTTCAATGTAGGGAGACTTTACATGAGAATTTGTCAAGACATATTCCATTCTTAAGCCAGCTTATTCATACACTCCAACTTAGTTACTTTATCCACAGAACCACTGAAGAGGAAGGTCTCTCCCTCCCTAACACTGTTACTGCACTGCCAGATGTTCTGCTCCTTACGTGCCAAAGTGCTCCTGTCCACTGGTACCTCAACAACCCCAGCCTGTATACCTGTCTCAGTGCTAGACTGACACAATTTAGCTTTCCCTGCCTCAGGCAGGAGCACCACACAACATAGCAACACCTGTATTACGTCTGGGCAACTCCAAGCTTGCTCTGCCTAAGTGCATCCAACACTAGCTCCCATCGCCTTGCAGTAGAGCTCTGGCTTTAGATCCAGGTGTCATCCCCTCCTGACCACAACTCATTTATTATCATAGTTAAGGCCATAAAGTCTTTCTATTTTGCAAAGATTCTCTTCCCTGTTGTAGTTAGATGCTGGGAAAATAAATTCAAATAACCGAAAATACAATGAGAACACATTTCAAATTCCGAATCTACAACTGAGGTTCTTTAACCAGAAACATCCAACAGCACAATGCCCCCTTTTCTTCCTTTGTTCCTTCTTCGCTTCGAAGGCACTTCTGGATTGCGTTGTACATGCTCTTTGGCTGCACAGACAGTCAGAACACATAAGGCTTGCATGCTAGTCACTCCTCTTCCTTCATGTGACTGGTCTCACCCTCTTGTTTCTTATCCACTCCCTGATCTGTGGGCTTTGCAGCACTGTCTTCATACTGACACAATCTGCTTCGGCTTCGGGCTCCTGGCTGGTACAGCTGCATTGCTGGGCGATCCTGAAACAAACCAGAACTGTTTAGACTCTTTCATAGCTCCCTGCTATCAGGGTTATTATGGCAGCAGTGGTATTAGAAATGGCTCAAATTCAAACTTTTCTGGGTGTTCTAAGTTAAATTACTCCACCATGGTGGCAACGTAACTTCAAGTGTCTCAAATCAAGGTTGTCTCTGTTGTAAGGCAACATCCCTGTTCAAGCCACAAAGAACACTGCTCACAGTTTGAAGTTATTTGTAGAGAGTTTCCTGTTGAGTTCAGCTCACCCTCAGAAAAGAGGCCAATTTCAAATCTTCAGAACCCTGAGTTTCATTTGTACCTGACAATGTCTTAAGGGACATAAAAAACATGCACAGTGATGCTGCAAAAACTAATTTGCTGACGATATAAAATTAAACTCAAGACATTTCTTGAGCCTACAGGACATGCCCTATTCTGCAAGTAGCAGTCTTGACACTGCTTTGGAGGAGCCTGTTCAATCACTCTTCCACTTCGAGATGCATTTTCAGGCAGCAGAGATACTGATGCTCTACCAACACCTTAAAGATACAGCCCATGGCACAAGTCAGCAAATGGAAAGATATCAGTGTCCTACAATTTAACCCACGGTATCTTGGCTTAATTCCTACTCAGTGACAAGAAATACCACAAATAATTTAGCAAAGTTCAGTGGATAAACAGGAAAAAAAAAACTTTCTAGTAACGGCAGAGTTTGTTGCCAGAACAGGGAGAATTTTCAACAGAGAAACCACATGGTTCTTTCCTTGAAGTGCTTTTATCCTAAAAAACACAAACTGACCCCTATGAATCAACATATGAATTTAAAGAAATTCAGCACCTTGTTTCTGATACGATCTCTCTTAATTGTATCCTCTTTTTTATCATCTTTGGTTACTTTCTCAGATTTGTCCGTGCTGCTGGTAAAGTCTGTAAGATCACTTTTCTTTCCCTTTTCTCTGAGTAAGTCTCTCTCCTTTTTCACCTCTTCCTCTTTTCTTCTAAAAACCTTCTCTTTCTCATAGCGCTCTTTCTGCCTCCGACGCTCCTCTTCTTGGCGTCTCAGTTTCTCTCTCTGCGCTCTCTCATATTCTCTGTCTCTGTCAAAATCTCTATCTCGGTCCCTGTAGTCCTTTACACACTCATCTTCTGATCTGTATGAAAACAAAACTGAAAATTAAGCTCAAAAGATTCATCAAACAGAGCCGGGAGATCAATGTAATAGCGGTGTAAATGTGCAATAGGAGGACGACACACTGGCAGGTTCTAGGGAGCTCTTGGGTGGCTGTGACAACCCGAGTCATGCACGACAGCCAGAGAGGACACTGACCACTAGCACTTCCCAGCCTCCTACTTGCATAGCTGGTTGAGTCTCCTCTGGCTTTACAAAAACCTGAATTTCTGTCTCTCATCTCTATTTCTCACACGACAAAACTGAACCTCGAACAGATCACAGAGCTTTTGAGAATTACAATTTCCACTTTGACCTTTTTACAAGACCTTAGAGGGACTAGTAACTGGAGAACACCTCTCCTCTCACCATGTTTATAATCATCCCATTGCAAGGACAGTGCTCACAGCCTGCTGCAGTCACCTACACCTGGGCTTCTTTAGTGCAGTTCTCACATTGAGTTGCAAAAACATTAAAATTTGTCCACTAGTGAAGAATTTTCAGGTAATTCACAGAGCTTTCTGCAATCACAGGGATGTGCACTGCCACAGAGAACACAGCCTGTGCCTTATATTAGGAAAAGCATTTAAAAGGAATTTCAAAACATTGACATAGCAGAGCAGCCTAAGCCTCATTATGATCAGGAAACAAGTTATAGATACATATATATTTATAGCAAGTACTAAAATACTTTTTTGCCTTCTCTTCTTTTGTCTCCCCATCAGATCGTTTGGCAGATGCACTACTCGCAATTTTTTCCTCCCTCAGAGTCTCTTTTTCCAGTTTCTTGGATTTTTCTTTTCTCTCCAAGTCTTTTTCATCTTTTTCAGGCTTCTTAAGTAGCTACAAAGAAAACAGAAGTCTCAACTAAAAAGCTCACTCTAATACATATTGTCTGGCACAACACCGAAATTGCATCAAAGGAACCACAGTCCAGTGAGAAGTGAACATTAAGGAAATATTACTGCAAATAGCAGCATTTCTAAAAGCTGGAGTGTATGAGTAAGCATTATTCACACAGCAAACTAGGATTTTTCTCCTAAACCAGGCCATTTTAGAAAGCTTAAAAATAGTCTCCATTCCATAGTGAATTCACAATCCTGTTTACCACGGCATGTACAACAGTCACATGACAAAAAGTTTAAATATTACTATGAAGCATTACAGCATGTAAACCTTTACATTGCCTACTACTGAATATTACAAAAAATTGGTAATTTACTAACACCAAACTCATGTGATTTTTCACACAATACTCAAAGCACATTTTGAGACTGATATACAAATAATAGGGGAAAGGGAGTGTAACAGTTTATAATAAAGAACTGTTCTAGACCTTAATCTTTGGTTCTTCTTTTGATCTGTCTCTTTCTTTTTCTGGGCATCTGTCTACTTTCTTCAATTTTTCTGCTTCTTTTCTCTTCCTTCTCTCCTCCTCTTTCCATTTTCTTCTCTCTTCTTCTCTTTGTCTTTTTCTTTCCAATTCTCTCCTCCTCCTCTCCTCTCTTTTTTCTTCTCTCAGTCTCTGTGTGTGTAAAAGCAAAGAGAAATAGTGTATCTCCACACCAGAAAACATCTCTTTAAGCCATCAAATAACTCACCTCAAAGCTGCCTCTACTATAAAAGAAAAAAAAAAATCCTGTCACCTCTACTGTTGTTGTGAACCTGAACATGTTGCAGCAGTATTTTTCTCTTACTCATAAGCCTTGATTTGTACTGTCTTAAAAAGCCCGACCACAACACTGGCCTCAGCCTTTATCATTCTAATTTTCATTTAATCTGCCCCACCTCTGATTTTCTCCATTGCTAAAAGTTAAAATAACATATTATATGCTAGGAGAAAGATCATCCACAAGGACCTCAGCTGTAAGTGCACTAAAAATGGAAGCATTAAAATGGAATCTGTTTTGGCAGTGCCACAAGAGACAATTTGCTGGGACCAGAACATACACAAAGCACCACCATTCCTACAAGGACCAACATTCTAGTACTTTAAAATATGTGAACCAGGTGTTGACAAGTGAGTAGGGTCAAAAGATCCTTCTTCAAAAGGAAGGGCAGAAACATATCAGTACACATATTGCAATATCTACAGTCATGCTTTAAATGAGCAAATTGTACTTGCAAACAAGAAGATTCTGGAGGTAGGTCTTACCTGTTTGTTTTTCAAGAAGTTCAATAAAGGAGTAGTCTTTTTAGCTAGAGAATATACAAAACAAATGTAAACAATTTGCCTTATCCAATACTGAAATACAACAAGACCCTGTATGAAGTGAAGCATCCTTATGGATTCCCCTGCCTGTCTCCTCTCATGTACAGCAATACTTGGAAACAAGTATTCCAAACCTATCTCTGAACAGTGGCAACTATTAGGATTCTACTAAGTTAGTGTCCTAACTTCTTTAGGACACTAATATGATACCCAGTACACCTCTGTGCACAGGGATACTCAGTCTGCATTAGGCTTTTCCCAGACTCTCTTGGTTTTAAAGATATTCCTGGAACATGCTTAAAAAGAGCAATCTGGTCATTTTTTGTGGTATTTTACCCAATCACATTATGTCTTAACTTGTGCCTGCGTGGAACATCACCACTCACAGCACTGTGCACTAAACATCACTGCATCCACTGAAATGCAGCCACTCCACAGCCTAGTCTGGCTAACAAACATCTGACCAGCAGCTGGCAACAGGAAGGAACTTTCTCACCTAAAACTTAAACCTAGAGAAGAATTTAGAGGATGGGAACAAAACAAAATATACACTGAATAATAATAGCCTAAAGGTTTACAAATACTAAGCAGGCACACAAAAGAATTCAGTCTCCTCCAGGTTGAGAAATCACAGCTTCAAAATACAAACCACGTTTCTTTGTGCTCTAGGAAAATATAACTATAGCACACAGATTTCCATACCTATTAGCTCTTTGTTTCTTGCCTCTATTTCCTCCAACAAAGTTTCAGGAGTGGAGGTTAATTTTTCATCATCTGCACTGTAACTTTCCAAAAACTTCTTGTATTCTGGATCTACAGAGAAGGGGAAAAGGAAGAGGAGGGGAAAAAAAAGGGGAAAAGAAAAAAGAGATACATTGGAGCATGAAAAGCATTTGCATTATGCACTGCTGGAAGTCTGGGTTGGATTTACATAAGCTGGGTTGTTTATATGCCATCTTTTCATAAGCTGGCAGCTCTCAAATGAGCTGCTGCATTATGTTTGTCTGGGACAACCATTTAATAGACTTGCACCTCACAAAGCAGTGCCAATAAGCAAACATCCCATTGATGGAATTACAGTGTCACAGTAAAAACATATTCAAATTACTGCTAAGATTTTCAATCTACACATGCAAAACAAACTATCTTGCTGTTATACCATCTTCGATAGTTCCAGTTTTGGCATCCTTTTTCTTACTCTTCTTTTTTGCAGCTTTTTGGAAAGGTGCAAACTCAACTATGGCAGCATACTCCTGACCTGTTAAGAGGAGAGGGAAAAATATATTAAAATAGAGATGAAGCAGATATAAAATAGACCATATTGTCCATATCTAAAGCAGGAAGATAAGCCTCACAAGAAACATGCAATACTAGAAGAGATTATTTAGACAGCATAAAAAAATTCTTCCATTTTGAAAGCAATTTAATAAAAAAAACACTCTAGAGACAGCAGAATTCATGAACTTGTAACCCTCCTAAATAAAGAAGAATCTTATGGACAGAGCTTTGTCACATAGAACACCTGTCTAGATGAATTGTAAAACACAGGCACTTGAATCAAAGCTCCAGGTAAGACCCTTTCACTGCCCAAGCCAACAGGAACTTTTAGTGCTGCCCAATGTAAGCACTTCTGAAAGGCAAAATTTAAACCCATGAAACCTAACATGTTTAGAAAACAGGTAAGTGATGACTAAATACTCGAATTTTTAACCAGTTAATTAAACCAAATATGTTTCCTACAGATTACTGTCTCCAGAGCAGTCACTTTAACAACTTAATCTGCAAAGAAGCAGCTGTTCCTTTTACTGAATCAAGATGACTCACTCAGTTGTAAACTGAAACAAGTGACAATTTCAGGTAAAAACTGACCAAAAGATAAGTGACACTGTTGGAAGTGCACAGAACAGGTGAGGGGAGTAGCAGAGGGTGACATCAGTAACCTCAGCTTCATTTGTTTGTACACTGACAGCATGTACCTGCTTTCACTTTACAGACTTGATACTCAGGTATGGCAGTGCAAACATTCCCCTCAATATCAGGATTTATATCAACACCACTGCTGCCTTATATACACCCATCTGGATTTTACACATCATATAGAAGATCCATTAAAAATACACCTACAAAAAAAGTCAATTTAAACTAGTTTCCACAAAGCATATGAAGTTTTCTTTGTTCTGTGAAATACTGCATAACATGCACTTAAGGCACTTAACCCGAACAAGCCAGAATTGGCTGCTCACCCCATCCCTCCAACACTCAACCAGCACACAGCACAGACAGCGGGAAAGCAGCAACACGCACTGAGTGCCATTCACTCACCTTTGTGATCAACGAAAACATAGCCGTCGAAGCGATCCCTGAAGAGGACTATGTCTTCCTGGTTCTTGAAGTTGATGTAGGCTCTGGAGAACATGTGCGGGTACAGGCTGCGGAGACACAAACCGAGGGCGCTCGGCTGACGGGGCGGCGGCGCCACCGGGGCCCGGGGAGCGGCAGCGGCGGCTCCCGGGAGCGCCCGGGCGGGGCCCGCGGCCGTACCTGGAGTCGTTGGCGAAGAACTCGAAGTAATCGTGCTCGGGCAGGGGCTGCAGGTGCTCCTCCAGCTGCTCCTTCGTCAGGCTGGGCGGGAGCCGCCGAATCACCACCTGCGGCACGGCAGGACCGGCGGTCAGAGGGCGGCAGTGCCGGGGACAGGGCGGTACCGCGGCCCTCCCGTCCCGGGCGGCCCCGTTCTGCCCCACCCCTGGCCCCCGCAGGCGGCCCCGTTACCGGAAGAAGGCCCCGTTACCGGGTGGGGGGGCCCGTTCCTGAAGGGGTGGTTCCTGCTACCGCGATAGGGCCTGGTGCCGGGGGCTGCCCGGTCCTGGGGTGCACCGTTCCCGGGGGGTGCCCGTTCCCTGGGGGTGCCCGTTCCCTGGGAGTGCCCGTTCCCGAGCGCCGCGCGGGCCCCACCTTGCTGAGCGTCTCCTTCTTGTCCTTGGGCCGCTCCAGGCGGTCGATCTCGGCCGCGCCGGCCCTGCCCTCCGTGCCGGCGGCGGGGCCCGGCCCCGCGCCCAGCACAGTCCCCGGCCCGGCGGCGGCCCCGCGCCGCTCCTTGGGCCTGGCGTTCTCCTTGTCCTCCTTCATCCCGGCCCCGCTCTGGATCCCGATCCCGGACCAGGGCAGCGCCGCGCGCCCCCGCGCGCCCATTGGCCGCCGACTCTCGCGAGACTACGCCTGAAACGGGCCGAGGGCTCCGCCGGACTACAACTCCCGGCGTGCACCGCGCCCGGCACCGCCAGTCCCGGCGGTATCAGCGACCGGCACCGGGTGCGGGATTGGGATTAGGATTGGGATCAGGCGGGCTGGGGCGCGGCACGGCCTCGGCCTCGTTCCTTGCCGAGGGCCGGTCTCCCGCAAGCGCTGTCGCTCCCGCCGCCCCTCCGGCCCGCCGGGCTGTGACGGGCGCGGGGCAGGCCGGGAAGGGCGCGGGGCAGGCCGGGAGTGCCCCGGGAGCGCCCCGGGAGCGGCGCAGCGGGACCGGCACCGGGACCGGTAGCGACACCGGCAGGATGTGGTACGAGATCTTGCCCGGCATGGCCATCATGGGCGTCTGCCTCAGCATCCCCGGCTTCTCCACCATGTTCATGAACCGCTGGAACAACGGCGGCAAGGTCAGCGCGGGGCGGGACCCGCGGCCCCGGGGCTCCGCTTCCCCCCGGGACCGCCCTTACCCCTCAGCCCCCTGCATCCTTCTGGGATCTCTTCCTTCCCGGGGCTCCCCTTTCCCCCATCCCTCGGGACCCCATACCGGCGAACCCGGCGGGGCCCCTGCCCGGGGCCGTAACAGGCATCGCTGTGCCCACAGGAGAAGAGGATCGCCCGCTTCCCCTTCCAGTGGGCCCTGATGGAAAGGGATCGGCGGATCTCGGGTGTCAACAAGTACTACGTGTCCAAGGCATGTTTTTGGGGCATGGGCAGGTACCGCCGGGGGGGGGAGGCGGGAGCCAGGCGCTGCTCCTCCATCCCCGGGCTCTGGGATGGGGTTCCCGCGGCCGCACTGGTCGCTCCCGGGGCTGTCGGGCTCCGTGCCCACAGCTGATCTGCCTCTGGGGCTGTGATTTTAATTGTGTTTTAACTAGAACTTTGGTAATTAGGTGTAGTTTGAAACTGGCGTTTTCAGCTATGCCCTGTTGCACATTAGTGGCAAGAATGATGCAGATATAGCTGTTATTTTTTGCTTTTTAGGGTCTGGAGAATATAGACAAAGGTGGCAGCACTTTGAAGAATCCACGTATCTACTGAGAATGATTGAACTCCTAAATAAAGATATATGTGTGTTCAGCCCTTGTATCTGTGTTGCTGTAGTGGGATGACCGAGGCTGGACACCAGGTGCTCACCAAAGCTGCTCTGTCACTCCCCTTCTCAGCTGGACAGGGGAGAGAAAACATAATGAAAGGCTCATGGGTGGAAATAAGGACTGGGAGAGAGATCACTCAGCAATTACTATCAAGGGCAAATGAGACTCAACTCGGGGAAATTAATCTATTGTCAATCAAATAAGAGCAGGATAATGAGAAATAAAACCAAATGGTGAAACACCTTCCTTCCACCCCTGTCTTCTTCCTGGGTTCAACTTCACTCCCAATTTTCTCTACCTCATGCCCCCGCGCTGTGCAGGGTGACGGGGAATGGGGGCCATGGTGAATGTCATCACGTGGTGTCTCTGCTGCTCCTTCTTCCTCGGGGGAAGACTCCTCACACTCTTCCCCTGCTCCAGCCTGGAGTCCTGCCCATGGGAGACAGTCCTCCACAAACTTCTCCACTGTGAGTCCTGCCCATAAGCTGCACTTCTTCACAAACTGCTCAGTGTGGGTCCCTCCCACAGGGTGCAGTCCTTCAGGAACAGGCTGCTCCAGCGTGGATCCCCTGCTGGGGCACAAGGCCTGCCAGCAAACCTGCTCCAGCATGGGCTCCTCTCTCCATGGGCTCACAGGTCCTGCCAGGAGCCTGCTCCAGTCTGTGCTTCCCATGGGGCCACAGCCTCCTTTGGACTTCCACCTGCTCTGGCATGAGTCCTCCATGGGTTGTAAGTGGATCTCTGCTCCCCTGTGGATCTCCATGGGCTGCAGCAAAATCTCTGCTTCAGCTTCTGGAGCACCTCTTCCCCCTCCTTCTTCACTGACCTAGGTGTCTGCAGAGCTGTTCCTCCCACATATCCTCACTCCTCTCCAGCTACAGTCTTGAAACTGCAAGTTTTTTTCCCCCTTCTTAAATCTGTTATCCCAGAGGTGCGTATGAGCTGCATAAGTCACATAAAAGCTTTGGACAGAACTGGTTTCCTCACTTTATGTGCTCTGATATGCACCAGGCAGCTGTCTGTGAGAGGAGGAAAAGGAATGACAGAAAGACTGATTTCAGAAATTCTGAAAACAGAAATTCTGTTTTCGCACCCACTTCTGACATGCAGTTCCCTGCTGCTGACTGCAGCAGCCTGCATGAATAGCCAGTGCCACCTCCTGCAGCTTGGATTCTTGCCTCCCAGCATAGCACTAGTCAGCAGTCTCAACTTACAATAAAGCCGAAACTTGCCTCTGCTACATCCTGAACCTGCTATAACGATGCCTGTTACTCATCTCCTTGTGGCAGTCAGAGTGAAACGCAGATTTTGTGTCACTGCCACCAACATTGATCCCCTGTGAGACATGGGGCATGGAATGACCACAACCAACGTGGAGGGAACAAGGTGCAGAGTCACATGGATCAGACAAATTTCTGAGAAATGTCCAGGCTTGTATTAATGCTCTCTCAGCTGGACAGGAAGCATCTATGAGACCACAAGGACTAGGACCTACACTTTGCTCATTATTGATCTAGCAGCTGAATCCATATAGCAGACTTTTGTCATTCTGGAAGAGCAGCTGCTGTGAATTCAGCACACTGTGATATGCTAAAACATTTCTGGCCTCTCTCTGTTGGTCCTTTCGCTCTGAAGGGCTGGGAGACTACAGCCCTCTGTGCGCCGGGCTGGGCTGAGACTCTGCCCAGACAGCACAGAGCGGAGGCTGCTTTAGTTCCCCCATTGCCGAGACCGGCAGAAACATGACAAACAGAGAATCTGGCAGGATCCCACAGCTGCTTTCCTGGCCATACTGCCTTCCTTTTCCGGAACGCTGCGGCTGCTGGGGGCGCATTTCCCCGGGGTCGGTGTATCCGCAGGGAATGCCGACTGGGATGCCGGGAGTCGGCCCCGCCTCTCCATGGTGACGCGAGAACGCTGCCGTGGCCGGGGAGCCGGGACAGCGGCAGGGACACCGCCGGGGCCCGGGAGCAGCTCCTCGGGGCTGGACACCTTCCCTGGAATAAAAAAGCCCCGGGACCCTCCGTCCGTCCGGGGCGGCCCTGAGGGGGGTGAGCGGGGGCGAGGGGCGAGCGAGGGACTGGCCAGCGCTCTCCGTGTTCCTCTGATGGGTCCTGCAGCTCTCGGGCCGGCTCTGTCTCACTGCGTTTGTGCTTTTCTTTCTCTAAAGGTGAAGCCAATGGACAAGGAAGAGGACAAAGATCACACACCCCCAGACAATGAGAGAAGCAGTACAGAGGACTGCCTGAAGAAAAAGGAAAAAGGTATTGTGTTTGCTCTATTAGCATGTGTTGTTTTGTTGTTGTTTTTTTTTTTCCCAGGAGGATTTGTCAGCATTTTATTTGCTTTAGAAGCCAAGCGTGTTATCAAAACTATCCAGTGGACCACAGGCAACAACTTCACAGTGGAGAGAGGGCGACAGCAGATTGAAGAACTCATTTCTGTGAGTGACAATTCCATCCATTCGGGAAGGCCACACCTTCTCACTGTTAAGAAGTGTGAAAAATTTAAGGACAGCACCTCTGGTTCCTTTTTAGCGCTGCCCTCAAGTCACCTCTACTGGACAGAGGGAGTCTTAGTGTGATGCCTTTGTTCGACAGACATGGGACATTCATGAAAGCTGGCTTCACCACTCAGAATTTCTTGAGGAAGAAGAACTGAAGGACAGCAAGAGGTACCATTACAGAGCTTGCTGGGGCATGCCAACACGCAGAAAACCCATCCCAAGAGCAACAGCAAGCGTCTACTTTGTTATAGTGATCTCCAAACTCAAACCTGACGTAAGTACTCGGAAATGCCACACACCAGTCCTTAAAGGGAAAAGAGCACAGGGATTCCTGAGGCAGTCAAAACCAGCACAACAGCCCATAGCTGGTCAGAAATCTTACATCATCCCACACGCTTAGAATTGTAACTTATGAGGCTTTACCTTTAAGAGGCTTTAAGAAAATACTCAGAGAGGCTTTAAACTAAAACTATTCTAATCTGTATCAGAAACGTTGTACAAATATCCAGGTTATTTTTGAAGACACAGATAGTAACTCTTACCTAACTACAATGTCTGCTCTTTGAGGGGCTGTACGTGACCTCTGCCCTGTCTCTGCTCTCTTGCAGACCTCGCCTGTGGAGGTTTTCTTCAGACTGGAGTCCAGCAGGCTGATTCGCAGGTAAATGTCATTACTCTTCTGTCACTGACACAACTCAGGAGGTTCTAGCAAGCTTTTCCATGCCAAAACCAAAGAGGGAGCTCCATGTAAGTAAGTTTGCAGTCACATCAGGGAGGTGGAAGAAGCTGTCAAAATTTTGCTACGCAAAATGAAATGACCCTGCTTATTATTAGCTTCTCTCCCTCACAAGCATGGATAGCCACCCCATGGGCATCTGCCTTCTCCAGGAAGAATATGTCCTGCTTACCCAAGTCTAGGCATGGTCTTTATTGCAGTAGATAGGCTTGCCTGGTGAATTAAGGCCAGCTCTGAGCTGGCCAAACTTGGATTCAGTATTATTCTTACAATTTACCCTCTTTTTATTCCATCCTCCAGGCCAGAAGAGTGTCAGTTTAGAGAAAAGTGGCTTCAGGACATTATTGAAAATAAAATAATCCTCATAGAAAGACTTAGTTCCCAATGAGCAGCTCCAATTCACCATCACCAATGCTCCGTTTTGGAGAACCAAATAAACACAATGAAGAAAGAAAGGCTCTTCCTTAGCAGCATTTCTGCTTTGTGGATACATAAAAAGCATTGAACCTGTGCCAAATCAATGATGCCCTGACATGGCAGTTGGCTTTATGGGACGGTTGCTGGCAGGTATGGGTGGGTACACCAGGATGGAACCAGGTTCTAGAGTGTAAATGGGAAGAGACAGCTGGGAGGGATTTGCTGGTCTGTGGAACTATAGGGAAAACATTATAGGACTTTAGGACTTTTATCTTCTTTGCACCAATATATGGGACATCTCTGCTGCCCAACTTAGGGGAACAAAAAAAATAAAAAAAGGATTTAGGGGAACAAAAGCCCTCTCAAAAACACTTCCTTTTTCTCAAGTGCTTTTAAAAACAAGTTCAAAGGGGATATGTTTGGAAATATGTGGTTGAATCAAAGGTAACCACCACATAAGCACTGCTTCAGCAAGGACTCCAAGTACAGAGCTTAAAGCAAACCATGTAATGCTGCTGAAACAGACCAAATTAAAATACTACCGGAGTTAAAATAAGGTTTTAATCCAGAACACTTTCATAAACACAAACATTTCAAATAAATTGAAAGACACATCCTTGTTGCCACTGTATACATCCAGGGGTTCCAATCACTGCACCCCACTGCTCTAATGCCTATGTATAACATAGGAGAAAAAGAAGCAAGCAACTTTGTTCTTCACCACAGATTTCGGTGAAGAGCGGACCCTCCTATTATACCGTTACTTTACACCCCAATTGCAATCTGCTTGCTTTCAAGTAACTGAAGCCCATCTGTATTAAATTACAAACTCATTTACAGAATATTTACAAGTCTAGTTTGAACCACAAACCAAACTTCACTGTTTTGAGAAAAACCTAAATCTAAAAAGACTTCTGAAGAAATAGTGGACAGTCCTAGATCTTAAACAGGAACTCAGGAGTTCCTTCATTTTTGCTGCTGTTAGTAGTAGCTTGTTCGCTGTCTTTTCCAAGCTAAATGAGTCTATGAAAAATCAAAATAAATGGAATTAAAAAAATGACACATTGGTATTATGTAACAAAGCCCTTCTCACGGGATCCTCCTGCTTGTCTGATTCAAAGCAAGCGCAGAACATTTGACACCTCTAATCTTCCCTGTCTGTTCCTGCCTTCTCACCTTTCACTTTACAGGGATTCCTTGTAGATGGTGAACAAATCACCCTAGAGAATCTGATGAAAGTAACTCTGTTTTCTTGACAGAAGTAATCCACTCCTGGGGCCCGGCCCTGTTGGGTGAAAGGCGCTGCAGCACCTGCAGCATTTTTCAAATCACGACTGGAACAGGTCAGCTGCTGCGTGGTACAGTCCGTGCTGCACAGCTCAAACAAAGCATTATTTCTCCTCTTTGCCCTTAGTCTTTCTGTAGACCATCTCCCGAAAGCTTGCGAGGATCTTGTTCTCTCGTTTCCTCCTCTCCTCTTGGTTGAAGGAGGCCAGGGCTCTCTTCTCGTCTGCGCTGTAGATCTGGTTCTCCTTGCGCAGACGCACAGCTTCCATGCGCCGGTGTCTGTGGAGGGGAACATGGTGTGTGTCATCATGGGCAGACTGCCCCGGTACAGCTTCCATCCATCAACTGGCCTGAATGTTTTCAGGGGCTTTAAATAAAGATACCTGCACTACAAAGTCCGAACTTGCACACAAACCTTCCCAAGAAGGAGTGTGGCAGAGCAAGGAACTGACTTCTGGGCGTGTCTGCTCTCAGGCAGTGAGCCAGAAGTCCCACCTACCCCCAGGGTGTCAGCTGCTGGCTCACCAAAATTTAAGTGAAATTCCTGGAGGACTCATAGAGCAAAAAGTGCAGCCAACCTCTCACACTTTGATTTGTCTCCTACTGGCCAGCACATCACCAGGGCTGTCCAAACACACCACCTGGCACAAGCATCTCCTCATTTGAAATAAAGATAATGAGAAGTATATTACCTGGAAAGAACTTTTGCTCTTGAGGAGAAAGCATCCTTGAAAACCTCACCATCTGTCTACAGCAGTGGGGAGTTTGGTGTAGATTATTGCAAGCATGCAGAGCACCTTCTCCTCCACACTTTCAACTAGAGCTTGGAAGCAGTCTTCCACTCAGCCAACAGAGCAAGCAGCTCTTGAAAACGTCACTGAACCACTGCCATCATCAAAACCATACCTGCTGCCACTCATGACGTAACCAGAGCTCTCAAACGATGCGATCTCTTCACTGGTTAAACCGATCTCGCCTCTCCGGGGAATACGTTTTCCTGCTTTTACATACTCTGCCATTGCTGCACCTTCACCCGGCAGGAGGGCGTGTCCATAGCTAAAAAAAAAAGGGAGGATTGCAGTCTCAAATACAGAGAGCCTGAGCTAAACATCCTGCTTCCCTGTTCACTACCAGATACAGCTGCATTTTTAAACACATTCTTTCCCACATGTTGGCCTGTTCTTTCCTTATGGCTAACACCAGCAAAAACATCTTAAATTACCAGTTGAGTCCATTCTGATTAAACAATGAAGAAGACACTACAAAGTCACAACACTGCAGAGCATTAGAATAAAGGTACCTTACAAATGATTTTCTAGGAATCAAGACTAAGAAGCATAAACCAGACTTTTCTACCCAAATTCAGGCCAGGGGAAAGGTTAGCACCACTAGCACTTTTGTTTGCAAGTTTCTGGCACAGCATTTCTCCCTCTGCATGCCATATTGTTGTAACAGCCCTTTTGAACAGTAACTTTCATGCTTGATTTACTTGATTTGATCAAAGCACTGTTAGAGCTGGCTACTCACTTCAAAGGCCTGTCATCCTGAGACGCATGAGTTTTGGGAGCCTCTGGTCCAATCAAGCTATCAGCTTCGGTATTTTCTGCAACAGTCAAATAATGAGGAAGATTGATATTGTGCCCATTGTTCTTTGTTATCAGGAGTGTTCCACAGGTCAGTAAGACCTAAGAGAATTCACAAAAAGGACACTAAAAAGTTTCAATCCAAATGTAAAGTCAGGTGAACCTACTTGATCTCTCAATCCAGAGATCATCCCCTTGAACTGTTTCATCGTCGGAATCTTCGCTACTGGAATCGCTGGATTCCTTCCTGCTCTTCTTATTTTTCTTTTTCTTATACTTCTTCCTGTGATAAAGTCAGACAGACATACTATTTACCAAAATTTGCTTGGAATCATACTCAAATAATTAGTTTCTCAAGGTAACTTCTACTTATGGGAAGACTGGCTGGCTGCGTACAGATTGTTGTTTTATAGAAAACACCTTACAGCAAAGCCAAGACAATGTTACACCTTTCACAGAGCGTTAGAAAGTGGCTCTACACTTGCAGGGAGTTGTCTATGCTGCACGATTCTGTTGACTCAAAGAAAATCCATCAAATTAATATTACTTGTCAGCACTTGCAGCCTGAATTACCAGAGTGCTCAGACTCCCTCAGAGCCTGTGAAGAAGGTGGAGCTGCTCTCCAGCCAAAGAAGCCAGAACTACACGCAGCAACCTAGGCACTTACTTTTTGCTCTTCTTTTTCCTCTTCTTGCTTTTCTTTTTATCTTCATCTGAAAAAAAAACAACTATATCATTAGCAAAAAGAGATGATTAGCTATAACTAAGTAGTTTACTGTACTGAACTGCCTCCACCAGAATGCCCTAGTACACACACAGCTTCTCAGACCTGACTGTTTATATATCAAGCAATACTAAGAAAGCATTAGTAGAAAGCTACCTGCAGTATTGATGAATATAAGAACATCTCAAAGAGATCTCTATGATGAGATACCCAATGGATGCTTAACTCAGAAATCCCATTTCCTGAGGCCAGACCTCAAGCACTCAAGGAAAAGGCACTACAAACCCAGCAAGATGGTGAAGGAAAAGACCATGGATTGATGCTGCAGCTCTGTAACTTCAGAACACTGCAAGCATGCAATAAAAGCCAGAAGTGTCAGTTTGTGTTCAGCCCTCACACACCAGCCAAAACCCTCCTGTCTTACCACTGGAGTTCTGCTCAGACTCCGACTCACTGTCGCTGTCCTCAGAATGTTTTCTGCGCTTTCTTTTGGATGCCTTACGTTTTTTCTTGTTTCTTTTCTTCTTTTTTTTTTTCTTTTCCTCTAGAATGTTTTGAAAATATAACATTAGAGATCAATCAACTAGCTCCATATGTACTTCCCAATCTTCCCAAGGTAATGCTCTCCTTTGAACTGGAGCCCACTCACTTCCAGCCATCAAAACCAGTAACCCTCCAGCAAGTAACTGCAGCAGATTCTAGACTTCAATAGCTTCCCATTTTCAAAACAAGCTGTGTAAGCCAAACAAAATACCTTCTGAGCTGGAATCCGAAGAACTACTCTTCGATTTTGCCTCTTCATCTTCTACTGGTGTATGCTCATCAGAACTGAATAAAAAGAACAGTTTGCTATTTAAGATCTATTTTGTAGTACTCAAGATCAAAGATACACATGTGACCAAAGGCTTGCAGGTTTTGAGTCAATACTTGCAATGAAGTAAACTATTAAAGGGTTAATTTTCAGCATGGGAACTGCTTTCAGAACCACAACACAAAGGTCACAAAATTTGTAGATCAATTTATTGATCTACGATAAATCACATATTGGAATTACCTGGGGGAAAAAAACTAATAATCTCATATTATGTTGATTTAGAAGTTAACTGATACAACAAGAATTGTGGCAATGGGACTAGCGCAGGGATAAGGCATTTTTGTAAATTAAACTAACATAAAAAACTGAAGAAAAGAAAAAAGAATAAGCCTTACTCGGGGTCAGGGACCTTTGGTGACAGCCCCCAGACTTCAGGTGCCCCCAGCTCTCCAATTCTCTCTCTCTCATTGAGTCTCCTGTAAAGGAAAACACCTTCACTGAACCCTTGCGTGCCACACCCAGTACATAAACACTTTAAATTTAGTACTTGTCACCACTGTTAATCGCAGTACGGAAAAGAAAAAACCAGGTGCAAGGAGCCAACTCCCAGGCCGGGGGGCTGGCAGAAGTGCTCCCCCACTGCAGAGGTGTTACCCCCTCCCAGCCGAGCCCCGGCTCAGTCCTGCCCGCGGACACGGCCGGGGGAGCGTCCGGAGGCGCCGAGACCCGTGGCCGGGCCGTGCAGCGCCGGGCCCGCCGCCCTCCCACAGCACCCCCAGACCCGGCCGGCAACCGGCAGGACAGCCCCGACCCGGCCCAGCGCTTGCCTCTGCCGTAGGATCTCCTCCTTCTCCTTCTCGTAGTACTCGGGCCAGCCCTTGCCGTGGTGGTGGTGCCCGTGGTGCGCGGCGGAGCGCGGCGGGCCGGGGCTGCGCGACCGCGACCGGCTGCGGCTCCGCCGGTGGCTCGGGCGCCTCGGGACGTTGCGCTCGCGGGAGCGGGATCGGGATCGGGATCGGCGGGCGCGGCGCTCGGGGCTGGCGGCGGGCGGGGAGCGGGAGCGGGACACGGGCGCCATGGCGGCGAAGGGGCGGGGAAGCCACTTCCGGCCGCTTCCGGCCACTTCCGGCGCCTCCCGGCCGGGCGAGCGCGGGGCGGCCCCGCCCGCGGGGTCACCGCCCCTCCGGCGCGGGCGGCACCGGCGGCTCCGGCGGCTCCCTTTGTGCCGCCCGGCAGCGACGGACGCGCGGACAACGGCGGCGGCAGGTGAGGCGGCGGCGGGGGGCGCGCCGGCGGCGGGTACCGGCACGGGGCCGCGGCCCCGGGAGCTCTCTAGGGCGGCCCGGGAGCAGCACTGCCCCGCGGACAGCTCACCCTGCCCCGTCGGGGCTCGCCTTCCCCGCCCGGGCCCGACACCGTCACGGTCCGGTTGGGAGTGTTGGAAATCCGGCGGCTCCCGGCGCGGCCTGATACGGCAGCGTGTCAGGGGAGCATTGACAGGGCGAGGGGAAACGGCCTCAAGTGGCGCCAGGGGAGGTTTAGATTGGATATTAGGGAAATTTTTTTCACGGAAAGGGTTGTAAAGCATTGGAACACGCTGCCCAGGGAAGCGATGGAGGCACCATCCCTGGAAGTGTTCATAAAACGTGTAGCACTTGAGGTCGTGGTTTAATGGTGGTACTGGGTTGATGGTTGGACTTGATACGACCCACCCCAGAAGGGGAGGGTAACCCAGGTTCTTGTTAATAAATCCCTTGGGGTGGATTAAGGTGAAACGACACTGAATGATCACTGTTTGGAAATATATATGTAGGGTTTATTTTAGAGCAGTTTTGTTTCAAAGGAAAACAGGTGTGTAGCCGTTTTGCTTCTTATCATCTAAAGTAATACAGCAATATTAAAGCATAAAAGTAACACTTAAGGAAATTTATAAGGAAGAGAAAGAAAGGATAAAAATGGAAAGATATATGTTGTCAGCACTCGCTGGATCCAGCGATGAAACTTGGTAGTTGCACCTTCAATGTTCTGTTGGTTGAAGATGGTGGTCGCAGTCCTGTCCAAGTGTTGGTCTTGATCGGTTGGGGGAAGCCCCCTCCTCCCCTCAAAACTCAAAGATCTCACGAGTTACATACATTCGGGCTCAGGTGGGAACGCCTAGTACCTCCCGTGGGGCGGGGAGTCACGGGACACGTCATGAGATGGAGAATGCTTCTTTGTCTCTCAGATTTGTCAGATCTTTAAAAACGTTCTGTTCTCTCAAACTGGAATTTTTAAAAACAAGAGAGCTCCTCAAACTGCTTAACTGAAAACTTGTCAGTGAATTGCATATTTTTCTGTCTTCTCGCAAAAGCCTGACATCACTTCTTTAAATTTGTACTTCATATTTTCAGAGGCTCAATCCCAGAGTTTTTTTGATCACTTCTATACAACAAAATAAAAGTTGCCATTGTGTCTCTTAGCTATTTTTTCAGTTGCAAGAATAGCACGCTTAGTTCTGTTTTAGATGTTTCTTATTAGTATCTTAGATAAAATGGTTCTTTTAAATTGTCACTGTGTAAGTGTTGATGTGACTTGAATCACCTGACACTTTATAATCTTATCTAAAAATAAAAGAGGAAAAAACAACCCCAGAACTAAGAATTGCACACTAGACAAAAAAATATGAATGTTGAAATTCTGCATTCAAGTGCAGGAGGACTGAGTGGCAGCTTTGGTCAGATTTAAGCTGCTCAGAGCATTAGCTCTGTTCTGGCCACAGCAAGGTGACAGTGGGGTTCAGATTTGTGTCTGATAAAAGAAGTTGACGTAGAGAGAAGCTTTTCCAAATAAGGTAAAAGTCAAGGAGGTGGTGCAGCTCTCCCAGCTAGACCAGCAGCTTTTAAATCAGCCAGTATTTCTATGCCTAAGGGTAAGCAGTTCAAACCTGATTTCTGAGAACTGGTGATGCCTCAGGAGCAGGGCTCCTTCCAACCCAGGGCTCATCTTTAGCTGTAAATTCTCCTGTTTGTTGTTTAGGAATGGGATAGGCGATTAGGAGAAAACTCCTTAAAACTGGAGGATGAAAGGCTAAGAAATGGTTTAATTTGGGCCATCACACATTTTTGGAGGAGAAAAAAGAACACTGGGTTAAGAATTAAAATAATTATAGTATTATTTTCATTTAATATATCCACCTAAGTAAAAATTATTAAGAACCTGGATCAAAGGAGAAAACTTGATTGAAGGGTTATATGAGGAAGAAAAGCCTACCTTTTCCCCGATTATTCTTTTCTGTTATTTATTCTCCTCCGTTTGACTCTCTGGTAAAAGCTATAAATAAACAGAAACCGGTTTATAACATTTCAGATATGAGAGCTTGCTTCCGAAAGGCACTAACTATACAAACACTACTAACTATACAAATATAGGGAGGCTGGCAGTGATTTTCTTGCTAGAAGGGCTCATATACTGGGGCAGGATCATTTCATTGCTGATATATGTAGTGTGAGGGATTGTAGCTGTTTCTGCCAGTGACTGTGGCCTGTTCATGTTTTTGGTCGAACTTCACAGGAGGACATTTGTTCTTGTCAAAGTTTTTAAATCTTAAAGAAAAATAGGAACCCCTGTGGTTCAAGTCCACAAAATCCATAGGAAAAAAAAAATGGAACAGATCAGTAACTGAAGATGAAAAATATCTTTTATGATCTCGGTGCTCTTTGAGCGTTCCAGAACAGCGACAGTTTCCAAGAGGCCGCATTGTGGATGTGTCGCTTTGATGGCCACATGTCAAACCTGGAACCTGTCGCGCGTTTTCTCAAAGACACTTTGTGCAGAGGCCGTGCACGTCCACTCAGCTGCCAGCGGGGTCCAAGACGTGCCAGCGAGGTGCAAAGAGCACCAAACCAACGCTCCTGCAGCACGGGCAGGGGTACCCAGGGTCAGATTATCCAGGGGTGCCCAGGGTGGGGTTATACAGGGGTGCCCAGGGTCGGATTATACAGGGGTGTCGAGGGTTGGATTATACAGTGGTGCCCAGAGCTGGGTTACAGGGGTGTTCAGGGTCTGATTATACAGGGGTGCCCAGGCCGGGTTATACAGCGGTGCCAGGTCGGGTTATACAGCGGTGCCCAGGCCGGGTTATCCAGCGGTGCCAGACCGGGTTATCCAGCGGTGCCCAGGCCGGGTTATCCAGCGGTGCCCAGGCCGGGTTACAGCCCCGCTCGGTGCTGGGCGGAGGTGCCACAGCTGCGTCACCCCCGGCGGAGCAGCGCCAGCTCGGTCCCTGCCCCCGGGAAGGAAATGAGCCGCAGCGGGAAATAGGGTCTGCACGGCTCATCCACACGGCCGGGCACAAGGCAGGTGCCGGGACAGCCGGGCGGGAACCGCCAAGGCCGCGGCGAGGCCCGTGCGTGAGGCCCGAGCTGCCCAAGGCCTGCGGTGGGGCAGGGGGGGTTCTGCCGGCGGGGGGCGGCCACCCGGGCGGTGCGACCGGGCAGTCTCCGGGAGCCCCGGAGCCGCCGAGCCGAGGGGCTGTGGGCGAGCCCGGGCGCGGGGGCGGGAGCGCGGCCCGGCCCCGCCCCGGCGCGAAGGTTCCCGAGGCCTCTCGGGTCAGGGCCGAGGGCAGCGCGGGCAGCGCCCCCCGGCGGCCGAGGCGCGGCGGGTGCGCGGGGAGGCGGCGGGGCCGCGGCCGGAGCGCGGGCAGGTAACGCGGTACCGGGGGCGCGGGGGCACCGGGGCAGCGCGGGGTTCGGCTCCCGCCCCGCCGGGGGCTCTCCCCGGCTCGACGAGGGCCGAGCGGCGGAGGGGCCGCCCGTGGGTTCGGGCCGCTGCCGCCAGGCCGCTCCCGGAGCCGCCGGTCCTGCTGGGCCGCCCGCGGAACACCCGCGGCGGCGCTCGGGGCGCTCGTTCTCACGGGGAAGCCCCGCCGGGGCCGCGGGGGGAGCGGGGCCGGACGTGCGGCGGCCGCGGCGCTCCGGCCTCGGCGGCTCATCCGGCCCGGTCCGGCCTGCGGAAATAAAAGTTTCGCTGTTCTATATTTTGATGTTGTTTTTTTCAGCCTGTTGGGGGCTGTGAAGGGGGCAGTGCCGAGAGAGGGGTTAATTTGACTTTGCAGGTCTGTTTTGTTGCCGTGCTGCCTCGGTGTCTCGGTTTGAAATACAGAATAGCCTTGCGAATGTATGACGAGGGGTTAAAAAAGTTTATTTTTCTGGGGCAGGAAGTGCGGTATCCATAGTGTTTTCATCAACTCAGTTGACTGGTGATATACAGACACTGCTGTCTGGCCCACGAATAACTTCATGTTATTGGGATTTCTCATAACAATTTATAGAATGTCTTCACAATCAGAAAGAAATGTCTAATAGTGTTTAAAGCTGTTTGGGGGACCCAAATCTTCCATCTGGCTTGGTTGTAAAATTTACTGTATTTGCTGTTGCGTAAAATAAGCAGTTGTTTCTCTGTTCCTCACCTTGCAAGAGTAGAGGATATGTTCAGAATTGCACTTACCTTTTCTAGAAGGTGAAAGGACAAATAAGAAGAAACAAATTTGCCAAGTGCTGTAGCATATATCCTTATGAACAGTGTCTCAGATTTGTTTTCTTTCAAAGAAGGAACAGACAGTAAATATGGGAATTTTGTCACACAGTTAAAACTGTATGTCTGTATTTTTACTAATTTGATACTTTTTACTTTCCTTTTGCAGGAATGGAGGGGAAAAAACTCATCTCTGCAACAGACACACAGTATTCTAGTGTGCTTCTTCAGTCTTTGAATGAACAACGTGGCCATGGACTTTTTTGTGATGTTACAGTCATCGTGGAGGACCGGAAGTTTCGAGCTCACAGAAACATCCTTTCGGCCTCAAGCACATATTTTCACCAGCTTTTCTCAGTGGCTGGTCAAGTGGTTGAACTGAGCTTTGTGAGAGCAGAAATTTTTGCAGAAATTCTTAATTATATTTATAGTTCGAAAATAATCAGCGTTCGATCCGATTTACTTGATGAACTGATCAAATCAGGGCAGCAGCTGGGCGTGAAATTCATAGCTGATCTGGGCATAGCTCCGTCCGAAGAGAAAAATGTGCCAAGCGAGGTCAAAGATGGTGCTTCAGAAACTTCTAGTCCAAGTCAAAGGGATGCTGAAACACAAGTACCTCTAATCAGGCCAGAGAGTCAAGAGGCAACGGATGGGATGCCAGTTATAACACAGTCATTCTCCTTACATGGCATAGAATATGAGACTACAAAAATTACAGTGAGCGACTCGGATGATGAGGACGATGATGTAATTTTTTGTTCTGAGATTGTTCCTCCAAAAGAATGTACTAAAGATAAAAATGCTGCAAGCCAGAACCAGCCTTGCTCAAGTCCAGCTGGAGCTTCTGACCAAAAAACCTGTGGCGGTGGTGGCTCTCCCTGTTTGACAAACACCACAGCAGCTCAAAACCTCACCTTGTCTGCCAGTCAGCTAAACCCAAACCAAACACAGTCAGGTGCTGAATCGCTTGTCTCGGCAACTCCCCAGCATTTTACCCCTAATATCATCGTGCTAAACAAGCCTCTGCTTAACTCATCACTTGGTGCCAGCTCCTTGCATCAAACACACGTGACCCCTACAATTAATTTACTTGAGGAGAACCAGCAGCCATCTAATAAGGGCTCCTTAACTGAAGTGGAAACAACTGCTGTTGATGATGAAGAGGTTGTTGAAGATGATGTCGATATCATTAGCTCCTCTAGTCCTGGTTCAGTCAGCAGCAGCTCTTTGGTTCAGCAGTCTTCTGTTCCCAAGGCAGCAACCACTGAGGGATCAGGTGTACAGAAAAAACAGGTTGTTACATTTCCACAAGAGTCATTTGCTAAACCTGGAGAATTTAAAATAAAAATCTCAGATGTCCTTAGCGGAAACAACAAGGAATTCAGTTCGGGCATAGCATCAAAGAATGTGGCAGATGGGCAGAAAATCATAACATTAGATACAGCAACTGAAATAGGAGGCTTATCGACAGGCTGTAAGGTTTATGCAAACATCGGTGAGGATACGTACGACATAGTCATCCCTGTAAAGGGGGATTCCGAGGAGGGGGAAGCCAAGCCTGAGGACACGCCTAGAACATCTGGTGATGAATCTTCAAACAGGAAACGCATGAAAGTAAAGCACGATGACCATTACGAGCTCATAGTGGATGGCAGAGTGTACTACATCTGTATCGTGTGCAAGAGATCCTACGCGTGTCTGACGAGCTTACGGAGACATTTTAACGTCCATTCCTGGGAGAAGAAGTACCCGTGCCGGTACTGTGACAAGGTGTTTGCTCTGGCAGAGTATCGCACCAAGCACGAGCTCCACCACACCGGGGAGCGAAGGTACCAGTGCTTGACGTGTGGCAAGACTTTCATCAACTACCAAATCACGGTCTCCCACATCAGATCGGTTCACAGCCAAGACCCTTCCGGAGACACCAAGCTCTACCGGCTGCACCCCTGCAGGTCCCTGCAGATCAGGCAGTACGCCTACATTAGTGACCGCTCGAGCAGCATCCCGGGAATGAACGAGGGGGGAATTGTCTATCGAGTCGGCTCAGGGAAGGACGGCACTGAAGGGACAGCGCCTAACTCTCCAGCCAAACAAATTAGCTGGGACGACATTTTCGTTCCGCCGGGAAACGAAACAATGTTCAAACAAAATCCGTCAGAGGGAAGTACTGAGTTTGAGTTTGTAATACCAGAGTCTTACTGAAATGCATTAAGTGCTGGAAAAAAGGATTCAGTGCAGAAATATTGCAGCTGTTTTAACGGGACTGTTAAAATAGCTGTAAAATAAAAGGTTAAAGTCAAAACAAGCTAACTTGTTCTACAAAGTCACCAAAATGGTAACACTTGTCTGGATTATGTTATCTGCAGTGATTTGTGGAAGCAATTAATCTCAAATTTACCTGAATAGAGAGGAAGACATTTCTAAGGAGCTGGCAGTGTTTTCTGGTATGTTAAATTTGATCAAAACATGAGGATTTGTAGCTTGAAAAGGTACAATTTCTTCTAAAGACCTAGAAATATTTCTAAAATAATTGAATTATTTTCTGTACCCATACCTACTATGTAAACCCTTTATTTCATGTTAGCACTTTAATGGTGAATTCTGTTTAGATGTTAACCAAGAAAACAGGCTTTTTTTCATTGTCTCTTGGTCGTGGAACGATTTAAAAAAAGTAATCCCACACCTCACATTTGTGAACAGTGCATTACTGCAAGGGGCCAAAATAAATGATCTGTTACTAGACTGGAGTAGTGTATTTTTGAGCTAGCATCTTAGTTTTGCTTTTATAAACATTATAAATCATCTGTCTTCGTGCAAATGATTTTGTCAATGAGAGATAATCAGGGCTAACTTGAACAAACTTTATTTACACTTGGCAGGATGGTGAGCAGAGTATTCAGTGTCTGAACCATCATATTTTATTCTTTTTGCAATGGGGATAAAAAGCCAAAACCTACAAAGCTCAGTAGTGAAGAAGCTTAAAACACTTAGGGAGGAGATTTTAATGTTTTAAAGCTTGAGGAATAAGGTCAGGTTTTCTTAATGCTGGAAAAAATGCCAGTAGTTAGTTTGATACAAAGTGATGTTCCTTTTTTCACTATTCAAGAAGAAGGGCTTCAGTCTGGAATTTTAAAAACAGTAATACTTTTGGTAAAAGTAGTATCTTTTTGTTTTGTTTTGTTTTTAGCTGAAGGCTTCTCAAAACTGGGAAGTCATGTAAATGCTGTATCGGTTCAGCACTGAGACTGCTGAGGATCTTGTACGACTGTTTGTCTAGATCTTCAAGTGAAACAGGGATTTGGATTTTTTTTCTCCCCCATTTATAGATTGTGGAAGCGTGAAGACTAAACCAACGATCAAAAAATACCCTTTATTCACCATAATCTAAAGTATAATTTCTCTGTGGTTGTCTAGTTGTCATCTAGTTTTCAGGTTTGGGTTTATTATGTTGTCCTTATTCTCCTTGCACTTGGTACATTTTTAAGCTCTTAGAAGATTAATGAGACGTCCAACTTGATGAGGAAATGGTAGATCTGAGAAAAACAAATGGCTGTTTACCCAGTCATAGTTTAGCACTTCAGATTTAGTGACTTGCTGAATTTTTGTAAATGGTAATATAAAAACTGCTCAAGTTCTAGAGATGACTGAGGAAGACTGTCGTGCGTAGTACTAGTTAGTTATTGCAACCTTTCATTGCTTAAATTCCAATTACAGGTTTTTCTTTCCTTTTTCATGTTTTAAGTAAGCATCTTGATCCTATGACTGTCAAAGTTAGGATTTTGGACATACAGGACTCTAGACAGAAAGGCTTAAATGGTAAATGATTCAAATGTAACTCGAGCTACAGAAAAGGATACCAGAAATCCCTGTGAGCAACGGTGGAAGAGGATTTGTTTACCTCACACGTGTAACGCTCCGCACTTCTCTTTTGTTGGCCAAGAACGTGGTACACTGATGATTTCCAGATCATATTGCAGACCCCTTGGAATATAATGGGGCGTGCTATAAGTGTTACAGGTGGGGTGTTATTGAGGTGGCATTGCAGCAGTCAAACATAATCCTTATGCAACATGAGTATGGATTGCCTGTGTTGGCACAGGTGGTTCTGCCCTAGCTGGCTGGTGCTATGACGGGAATTCTTGAACTTTGACAAGACAAATACAATGTTATTTTTGTTACTGACGTGACACATTTAATCACACAACATTCTGAGTTGGAAGGGACCCTCAAGGACGATCAGGTCCAATTCTTATGACCTGTACAGGGATCTGGAATTAAGCATACATTGCAAAGTGTACAAAATTAAATATAATGGCTATCACTGTTTGCTGCTGGTATATTTCAAACCTTAAATTAAACTGTGCCTACTAAAGGTCTCTTTTTGGAGGAAAACTGGAAAATTAGGGCTTTGTAACTATTTTTGCTAGAAGACTCGTGCTTGCATGTGTCTCAGGGTCTTCAGTTTTCCTTGGAAATAATTTTTGATATCCAAAGTCCAGAGGTCATGTAAAGCATTTTTTTTATTTCACTTCCAGTATTTATTGGTTTGGAAACACGTTAAATCCATACTTCTAAAACTTTCTATGGGGCCACGAGCTTTTATATTTAGATTTCTGGCTGTTGCACTTATATTTGTGGGTTTGTTTGTTTTTGTAAGCATTTAGCTTCCAATTTAAGTTAATGAAATAAACTTATGTAAATATTAAGAAATTGGCTTTGGGGTAATGGAAAAAAAAGGTTGACTCTGACAAAGCATTTATATAGAAATTAAAAATTTCAACAGACTGTGGTGGCAAACCTTACAGTCATTTATATGCATATAAACCATTAACAGATCTGCTGCAGAATATGGTAATGGTGGCTGCATCCTCACTGTCTGGTTTCTTTGGGGATTCATACCTAACATTCCACTATGTGAACTAAGCAAATATTTGTTTGTTTAACAAATAACATTGACTGCTTATTTATTTTTTACTGTTAAGGCATGCAGCTTATAAAAGATGCAGAAGCTGACAACTATATACATTGAACTCTGAATTCTACAGCTATTGCCTAGGAAATGTTCCATGTGAAAACATTTCTTGATTTTCCCAGATCTGTGATGTATATAGTTGTACAGTCCTTCCTTAACATACTTTTAAAAGTTGTGTTCTACTTTTCATTAATCGATACTTGATATTAGTTCTTAGAGCTTTCTATGGCAAAAATAAAAAACTTAAATTGTAAAGATGAGTGGTAGCATGTTTCTTTGTAACTGCAACTCAAGTTCTACAGTCTTAACGTGTTTGATTACCAACAGCTTGTAGCTTCCTTTTCCAGGTCTTTGGGAATAGCAGGGAACCGCTGGGGTGGGGGGACACACACACAGCTTTTGGGGCCTGAGGTTGGTTTGTTTGTTTGTTTTTGTTGAACCCTTTCCAAGAAAGCAAATTCACTGAACAGCTCCCGTGTGCTGTGAGAATGCTGTGACAGCCACAAACTCTCAGAACAGGCAGAGCTGCCATGGAACAGTCTGACCAACTGCTGCTGTCATTGCAAACAAGCTCAAAATGAAGAAGAACATCCCTAGTGACCAGTAAAACATCCCTAGTGACCAGTAAAACATCCCTAGTGACCAGTAAAACATCCCTAGTGACCAGTGCAATGCATTTCAGCTCACTCACGGTTTGGGCTCCTCTTCTTCCCGGCTGCTGACTGTTATGATTCATAAGGGTTTGACTGTAAATAACAATTACATGGAGGTAATCAGTTACTCTGTGTAGACTTATTATCACTGGTCAGGACCGCAGTTTAATAAGTAACATGTGAAATGATGTTTTAGATGCTTTTATCTCCTTGGCTTAGGGCTTCTACCTAGCTCTGCTACCATCAAGGAGCAGCTGACTTCATCAGGACAGAATTAGGCCCATAGTAAGTAAAGGAGACACTGAGACTCCACTGTCTACATTATTCATCTGTGTGTTAAAGCAAAAAATCACCAGTAATGCCTTTATGGTGCTGGAGGTCAGGGCACCATGTTATGTGGGTAGAACTGCAGAATTACAAAGTGTAGGTACATCTGGGGCTTTCAAAAACAGATTTTAAAAAAAGGTGTCTTTGTTTAATCCTGGTATAAAAACACATTTCCAGTATAACAAGTAGAGGTGGGGGTTTTTTTGTTCGTTGGGTTTTTCTTTTCTTTTTTTTTTTTTTTTTTTTTTATTCACAGTGCAATTATACTGGAATTTCTCAACTAACATTAAAGATGCTTGTAAGACAGGAAAGTTGTTAAAATGTAAAATGCAATTTATAAATGTTTACAAAAGTCACACAATTTTATTTAACTTTGGTAAAGTAATAAAAGGGTACATATGAGCCACAATCTTGACATTCTCATAAGAAATGATGAATACAGTGCAGAATGTTGCAGTTACATTAAACGCTTAGTTTTGCTCAAGCAGAAGGACACAGGTAATTCAACAGAAAATCCCACCAGTAATTTTTTTTTTAATGTGAAAATGGCCTTGTCCTTTTATAGTGAATTTAAAGCAGCAATGTAACTTTTGCTTAAGCATTCCTTAGAAAAAATGAGAATTTGGATATTTCCTAAGTTTAATGTTTTTCAACTCAAAATCAGTAATTTCCCAGTTGTTCCTCTGCCAGTAAGTTATGTTCCCCTCAGGAGTTTCAGTCCTGTCCTGTGGTGTCCCCTAGTCCTTCTAGCCCTATTTAGTTGACAGGCACAAATGGTAGAGTGTCAGAAGTAGGACAGGACTGTTAGTTGTTATCTCAAAGATACAGGAATAAAATGTTTTCTGATACTAAATTGATGTGCCCTTCAAATTCTAGTTTTGTGGGGAGTTTTATCAAGAGAAGTACTGTCTGTTTTGAAATTGCCCATGATCTCTTTATCAAGATTTCATTCAGTAAAATGTAATATAAAAGGGAGGATGCCCTAGTATATAAATTTATTTTCAGTATGCAAATTTATAGGAGCTGCACTTCAACAAACAAAATGTGACCAGGATATGTTTTGCATACACTACTGCTTTAAATCCCATAAGTTGTATTCCTTTCTCCAGCTGTTTAGTTCCCCTTCTTACTGGAGAAAAGTTACACTTGCTTCTGGATAAACAATATTATCCTTTAATATACTAACATACTGATTAGTATTTGACAGTGGAAATGATAAGGTTAACACAGAGTCTAGCCTAAAGGCTTTGCAAATGCATAGGATTAAAAACAGCATTATAAAGTGTGGGTGTACTTTCAAAAGTGAGATCAGAGACTTCAGTGTTTTGTTTTCCATGTTGACAGCATTTTAATTGATTTTAATTTTTTTTTAAATAGATTAAAAGGAGATGCCACAATTTAAAATCCAACTGGATTTTCCCCCACCCCACTAGCATATATTCCACTTTTTGATTCTGAAAGCCAGATTTAACCTCTTAAGTGCCTTTTGGTCTGCAGCAGTTGCAAGTAAAGGTAGGCAACTGAGGATTAGAGTCAACAAACTGATGCCAAGGAAATTAAATCTTTAGGAAATAAGTAGTAAAATGTCAATACATAATTTGTATCCCTGAAGTAAGCAGCTGAGAACGCTCAGGTTGAGCAGCTCAGATCTGAACACTGTCATCTGAAATCACTTCCTAGAGTAGAACCACACTTTACAGGTCAGTGTGTCACATATCACAGCTGACCTTCTTTT